AGGGGTCTGGGGGGTGGGGAGGGCTGGGACAGGCGCAGGAGCTCCTCCAGCAGAAGCCAGTGGCCTCTGCAGACCCTCCTGCCGTTGGGCTGCGGCTCGGTTTCCCTCTCTGAGGCCCGGGCTCCCTCGCGTGCCCTGTGGTCACAGGCAGGACACACAGCCCCCAGTGGACTGAAACCACGCGCGTGTTGGCGAGGCCCTCGGATGTGGCCCCGCAGATGCTTTTCCCTCCTGTGTTTTGGGCTTTATAATTTTTCGACAGTGAGCATGTCCTTTTTTAATGTTATCGAAAAACAGAAAGTTCTCAAAAGCAAACTCATGGTGGCCGAAGCGTTGTCCCGACTGGAGCAGGTGGCGGCTGTCCCCCGGCCCGGCTGGCCTGCTGGGAGGGCCCGTCGGCACCTCCCCGCATGCAGGTTTTGCCAGACCCGTGCGAGCCCTCAGGGTGGCCCTGCCAGGGTCTGCAAAGCAGGCCGGTGCCAGGCCCTCCCGTTCCCCTCTGGCCTCCCAACCCCCTTCCTGTGGCCAGGGCCTTGAAGGGAGGGGACCTGGCTCATTTTCTCGCAGGCGTCTGGCCTGTGCCTTGGCGGAAGGCAGGGCCTTGAGGGGCCCACGGTGGCAGGTGTGGCCCTGAGCTGCTTCGGCCGAGGAGGAGCTTTCTAGAATCCCACCCCCTGCACCCCCACCCTGCAGAAGACCAGCTGCCACCATTTGCGGTGGAAGCAGGAAACCTGGCTTCATCTCAGAAACGCCGATGTGGGCCGATGTGTTTTTTTACGGGATGTCTGTAAAAACCTGTCTTTTTCATTTTCGACTGACTTTTCATTTTCTTTTTTTTTTTTCTTTTTTTTTTTCTTTTTGAGTTGGAGTCGCACTCTGTCGCCCAGACTGGAGTGCAGTGGCCGCTCCTGGCCACCGCAGCCTTGACCTGCCCCTGGGCTCTGGCGATCCTTCCATCTCAGCCTTCCACGTAGCTGGAACTACAGGCACGCACTACCACGCCCGGCTGATTTTTTGATTGATTGTAGAGATGAGGTCTCGCCAAGTTGCCCAGGCGGATCTCGAACCCGTGGGGCTCAGGCCATCCGGATACTCACCTCAGCCTCCCAAGGCGCAGGATTACAGGCTGAGCCACCGAGCCTGGCTGACTTTTCCTTTTCTTCACACTCTGATGCGACACGTTGATATAAATGTGCACGTTTGCCCTCATCGTAAACACCAGTCACTGTTTTACTTTACTAGATTTTAATGTTGCCATAGACGTGTGTGGTGGCAGGTGAGGCCCGAACCGAGCCTCGGTCCCCTCTGCACAGCGTGCCCGCCACCCTGCGTCCCAGCCCCTGCCTGTCAAGCGCTTCTCCTCACACTGTGGACCTAGCTGGAAGGAAGGAGGGAGGGAGCAGAGAAAAGGAACCATCCCGCCCTCAGCCTTCCTGCACCACGCGATCGTGCTTTCAGACTGCACTCTGGCATCTGGTGGGCGACTTTGTATGGGTGTCGCGCTTTTCTGTCTGCCGAGTTATGTGAAACTTGCCCCTTTGGCACTCTTCTCAGTCTAAAGGTCCTTGCACGTCTGATGACTGCCAAATTCCTGCACACGGAAGTTCGAGAAAAGGGGGGTGCTTACGGCGGAGGGGCCAAGCTCAGCCCCAGCGGGCTTTTCACCTTCTACTCGTACAGGTAAGCTCTCCTCTCGGCCGGCGCTGCGCGTGTGGGTCTGCACGTTGTGCCCCATGCAGTCGCTGGCTCTGTGGCCTCTCACCCTCACATCACCCACTCTGTTGTCTTCGATCGCGGAGTGAACCAGAGAAAGTTGCCCTTGCCGATGGCGGTGTTCACGCCTGGGCATGCGGCCTCCCAGCAGCGTCCTTCCTGCTGCAGGACGCAGAGGCGCGGAGCACAGGCGGGAAGCACAGGGCGTCGTGTGGCCCCAGTGGGCGACTTCACACGCATCCCAGTGTGCCTCTGTGGTCCGCCGCAGCCACAGTTTTGCTCCCATTTCAGTCCCTCAGTCGAGCCGGGCCAGAAATGTTAAACGGAAAGTTCCAGACGGAGCGGACCGTAAGTTCAGAGTCGCACGATGACATCCCACACTGGTCCCGCCACCTGTCCGGTAGTCACTTGGGAGCTGTCTAGGCAATCAGACCCACCCTCAAGGATTCACAGTGCTTTCTTCAAGTGACTCTCATTTTACTTTGTTATAACAGTACATCAACGTTTGTAGCATGTTGTATTTTATTATCACTTGTTGTTAATATCTTGCTGTTCCTGACTTATAGATGTTATCCTAGGAAAAAACATGACGTGTATAGGGCCCGGCACTATCTGAGGTTTCAGACCCGCCCTGGAGTTTCGGGGTGTGTCCCCGGGTAGGGGGCTGCCTTGCGAGCAGGAGCTTTCTGAGCTCATTTCCGTCGCAGGGACCTGGTGTGGCTGCTGTTCTGCTCGTGTGCACAGACACGGACTGTCACCCTCTGCCTAGAGTGGTTCTCAGTGTCCTGTGGCCCCGCTTGCCCAGGGTAGGAGCGAGTGCTGGAGCCGCCTGTCTCGGTCCTCCCGGGCTCCACTTCCCTCGAGACTCCCCACACGCTCTGTTTCGGGACAAGACAGGAGACAGAGCGCGGCCCTCCCCTCGCGCCCACGACCGTCCTCTCAGCACCGTGTTGGCGGGCGGAGGGCTGCGCACTTCACCTGCAGACAGGGAGACCTCTCGGGTCAGCTGGCTCCAGCGCGGGCCTCCGCTGTCTTTGGGAGGCGAGGGTTTTCCTTCGGCCTTCCTTCACCCCCGGCACTCGGAGGTCCCCCTCAGGGGTGTCAACAGGTTGCCAGTGATGGTACAGGACAAACGAGTGCCGGCACAGATTTTTCAAAACAGTGTTTTCCATTCAGTGTGCACAAAAAAGCAAATGCACAGATGGAATACATACTGAGATAGGATCGATGACTTGAAGTGGCTTTCAGGAATCACAAGTGCATCCTTCCACATTTACACAATAGATTACACATTATTAACGTGGGAGGAAGAAAACGAGTCTGCATTGTCTGCTCCAATAGAAAAACACCAGGCGGAGGATGTCCCACACATTCCTGTTGCACAACATGTGTCCCTGGACTTGCAAATGCGTGTCGAGGCGGAGGCGTAGGATCGCCTGAGCTCAGGGGTTCAAGACCAGCCTGAGCAACGTGATGAGACCTCGTCTCTACAATAAATCAAAAAATGAGCCAGGTGTGGTGGCATGCACCTGTGTTTTCAGCTACTGGGAAGGTCGAGGCAAAAGGCTCTCCTGAGCCCAGCAGGTCAAGGCTGTGGTGGCCCGGAGCATGCCACAGCACTCCGGCCTGGGCGACAGAGCAAGGCTCCGGCTCAGAAACAAAAAAAGAAAAATGTAGGATTTGGGGTTTTTCTGGTCGTAAGTTCGTTCCTCAGTGTCGAGAGTTCCATTATAAGCCAAACATCACTACAGTAAACCAGTGGGCTCCAACGCTCATTAGCGAATACGCAGCGGTTCACTTTCACTCTCCTGTGGAAGAGGTGCGGTCAGGGGCCCCGCGCGATGGCTCCGCGTGCCAAGCGTTGACTCTTCCACCCAACCCTCCTCCGTCCATGGGGCCCCCGATGACCTCCCGGAGGGGTGTCTCTGAATAGCCTGGTGACGGTTATGGCCAGGCCTTGTCTCCGAGGGAGGGAGAGACGTCGAAAGGCTCATGTGGCCCGACGGAGCTTTCCCAGAGTAGCTGCTTCTGTGGGCGGGCTCTTGAAGCCGAGCCGTTAGCAGACAGGAAGTGCGGCCGAGCTGCTCCGTGCACGCGGCTGTCCTGAACGCATCCGTGACGCTGGCCCTGGGCTCCCTAGGGATCCACACTCCACAGAGACGCTCCAGGCTTTTGGGAGGGCCGTGGACTGGGCCAAGTCCGGGAAGTTCACGCAGCAGGACGTCGACGAGGCCAAGCTTTCTGTTTTCTCCGCCGTGGATGCTCCCGTCGCTCCTTCAGACAAAGGTACTGGGAGTCTATCGCGAGCCTCAGCACAGTCCCCGGGGACTCCCGCGGCGCTGTCCTCCCGCCTCCCTGTTCTCCTTGTGAGACGATGTCACATTTGATGCTAAACACCCGGAAGCATGCTTCTTGACCTCCAGGCAAGAGCATCCTGGTATTGGCTGTTCAGAATTGTCAAATTACGTCGTTTTGCGTGATCTGAGGGGATTCCTCGCTCATGAGGGAAAAGCAGATGTGGCCCCAGCAGGAGAGCGGCCACGCCCCTCCGTGAAACTGCGGGCTCCCATGGGGTCTGCCTGTGCAACCCCTCCTTGGGCCTTTCGGCCACCGACACCCTCATGCCACCCTTCCTGAGGCTTTGACTGCACGAGAAGCGGGCGCTGGTGGGGCCGGGCGACCCTCTCTTTGGGGATCGTGTGTGTCACGTGACCGTGGAGACATGCGCAGAGCCCTGTTTTGTCCCTCAGGCCTGGACCACTTTCTGCACGGGCTCACGTACGAGATGCGGCAGGCACACCGGGAGCAGCTGTTCGCCGTCAGCCATGACAGGCTCGTGGCCGTGAGCAGCAGGTGAGTGGTGTGGCCATGTGTGGTGTGGCTTTGTGTGCGTGGAGCCTGGGCTCACCGTCTGCCCTTTCTCAGGTACTTGGGCGTCGGGAAGAGCACACACGGGCTGGCTGTCCTGGGACCCGAGAATGCGAAGATCGCCAAGGACCCCTCGTGGATTGTACGGTAGCCACCGGTGTCTCCGACACACAGGGCTGCGGGAGCCTGCACGTACGGACTGTGTTGGCGTCACCTCGTGGGAAAGAGAGGAGGGTCAGAAGCGTCACTGCTGTTTCCAAAAATGCCTCAAGTCCTGCCGGAGGGACGGACTGGCCCGTCAGAACCTCCCCCCTCCTGAAGAAGGAAGCAGTGCCCGTGAAGAAATGGACGTACTCACGCACTGAAGGCCAAAGGTGCACGGATGACGCTCTTAAGACTTTCTATGACGACAAAGCTTATTTTACCTTTTTAGCCCTAGAACCTTTATTTCAAAAAGCTAAAAATAAAAGGCATCGCTGAGCCTCCTGCTTCCGTCATTATTTTAAATGACACTTGGGCCCTTGATTAGAAGTGAACACGTGAAATGAAGTCAGGGACAGGCTGGCCACGTGGCTGCGTGGACTACGAGGCCCGGCAGGACGTCCCGCGGAGCCGGGACAGGGGACCCGCTGGAGGCCCCGTCCTGGGGGCTGGGGGTGTGGCGACAAGCGTTGGCTTGTCTTTACTGGGACAAAAGCCCTCGGCGCCCGTCAGCCTACAGCGTCCCCCCAAACTCCGCAAGGGCCTGTTCTTGTCTGCCCTCTGCCACGTGTCTGGGCCTCGCCCGCAGGGACTAGAGCTCAGAAGTGGTGGAAGGTCCGGGAGGCCATCACCAGATGCCACCGTCCATCCGCCCAGACAGCACCTCGGAGCTGTCTGTGGGCCCCAAGTTGGGTCCACCAGGCCTGGCTCGGTCCCCAGCTGGGCCTGGGTCTCACTTCTTCTGAGTCCCCAGAGTGGCTTTAATGTGCAGCCAGGCTGGCCATCCAGGGCAAGTGGGTGAGGGTCATGGCTTTATTTCTGAAGTCTGCACCTCTTCGCATCCCAGCAGTGTGTGGCCTGGGTGAGAGGGACCCGCCGGGCGTCCTGCCCGGTGTCTTCCATGGGACACTTGGACATGCCGAGGGGGGTTCTGGGTGTACTTCCCCTGGCATGTCTGCCACTTGTCAGACGCGTCTGTGTTCTCCTAGACTTCAGACTCGCGTAGTCAGGTGAGCCCTACGGAAACATCCCGCCAGTCTCTGCCCCC